TTATATTTTGTTGTTTTATGATCATTTTGACTGTATAATTTGTTTTGTTGATCTTTATGAAGTACTTTGATTTTTTTCAAGTGCTAAACAAATAAAAGTTACTCACTAAACAAATACCAACACAATGATGTCACTTTTAACTCACATGATGAGTTCCTCTGACGTCATTACATCAATTCCAGTTCTTCTTATCCAAGTCTGGGCCATAGGATCCCCCCCCCCCCCCCCCCCCCTTCGGTCTCAATCCCAAGGTGTCCCCAGCCAGATAGGATCTATAATCACCCCAGGAGGTCTTGGATTCTGCCCTGGAGTCTCCTCCCACCCAGAGGGAGCTCATTTCAGCAGCTTGCGTCTACAGTCCTTTTTCACCAGTCACAACCCTAAAGCCTAGTGACCATGAATGAGCATTGGAATGTAGACGGACCTGTAGACCAGCTCAACTCTTTCTCCACTCCACACCAGAGCAACACCCTCATTGCTGAAGACGGAGCCCCAATCTTTCATCACGATCACTACACTTTTAATAAAGTCTGAAAATGGTTTAAAAATAATAAATAGACCATTAAACTGTTATTTTGGTTCTCCTTATATAACTACAATACTTTTAACATATCTGCCTAAACAACAGCTGTCTGTGTACCTTGAACCATCACAAGGGCAGCTGCACTGATGAGGGAAACATTTCCTCATCAAAAACCACAAACAAGCTGATGCATCCATAAAATGACTTCATGTGCAGCACTATGGGCTGGATAAAGAGCTGATAGGATACACTCTTTTTTTTAAAGCACTTGTTTCATTGCAGGTCTAAATAAAAGTGGATTTGATGATTTAACAGGTAAACTGCAGGACGTTTAAGAGATCCTGAAAGTGATTTTAGGTTATTTAGGCTATTCTGAGTCTCGTTAGTCTTAAATATGGTGATAATTAACAAAAGATAAATCTGAATTCTAAATTTCCTGCATCACTATCCAGTTTCTACAGGTCCTTCAAAAAAATTAGCATATTGTGATCAAGTTCATTATTGTCTGTAATGTACTGATAAACATTAGACTTTCATATACCGTATATTATTCATTACACACAACTGAAGTAGTTCAAGCCTTTTATTGTTTCTAATATTGATGATTTTGGCATACAGCTCATGAAAACCCAAAATTCCTATCTCAAAAAATCAGCATATTTCATCCGACCAATAAAAGAAAAGTGTTTTTAACACAAAAAAAGTCAACCTTCAAATAATTATGTTCAGTTATGCACTCAATACTTGGTCAGGAATCCTTTTGCAGAAATGACTGCTTCAATGCGGCGTGGCATGGAGGCAATCAGCCTGTGGCACTGCTGAGGTGTTATGGAGGCCCAGGATGCTTCGATAGCGGCCTTAAACTCATCCAGAGTGTTGGCTCTTGCGTCTCTCAACTTTCTCTCCACAATATCCCACAGATTCTCTACGGGGTTCAGGTCAGGAGAGTTGGCAGGCCAACTGAGCACAGTAATACCATGGTCAGTAAACCATTTACCAGTGGTGTTGGCACTGTGAGCAGGTGCCAGATCGTGCTGAAAAATTAAATCTTCATCTCCATAAAGCTTTTCAGCAGAAAGAAGCATGAAGTGATCCAAAATCTCCTGATAGCTAGCTGCATTGACCCTGCCCTTGATAAAACACAGTGGACCAACACCAGCAGCTGACATGGCACCCCAGACCATCACTGACTGTGGGTACTTGACACTGGACTTCAGGCATTTTGGCATTTCCCTCTGCCCAGTCTTCCTCCAGACTATGGCACCTTGATTTCCGAATGACATGCAAAATTTGCTTTCATCCGAAAAAAGTACTTTGGACAACTGAGCAACGGTCCAGTGCTGCTTCTCTGTAGCCCAGGTCAGGGGCTTCTACTGCTGTTTCTGGTTCAAAAGTGGCTAGACCTGGGGAATGCGGCACCTGTGGCCTATTTCCTGCACACGGTGGCTCTGGATGTTTCTACTCCAGACTCAGTCTTCCGCAGGTCCCCCAAGGTCTGGAATCGGTCCTTCTCCACAATCTTCCTCAGGGTCCGGCCACCTCTTTGTTGTGCAGCGTTTTCTTCCACACTTTCCTTCCCACTGAGGTTCCTTGATACAGCATTCTGGGAACAGCCTATTCGTTCAGAAATTTCTTTCCTTGTCTTACCCTCTTGCTTGAGGGTGTCAATGATGGCATTCTGGACAGCAGTCAGGTCGGCAGTCTTACCCATGAACCAGGCTGGGAGTTTTTAAAAGCCTCAGGAATCTTTTGCAGGTGTTTAGAGTTAATTAGTTGATTCAGATGATTAGGTTAATAGCTCATTTAGAGAACCTTTTAATGATATGCTAATTTTTTGAGATATGAATTTTGGGTTTTCATGAGCTGTATGCCAAAATCATCAATATTAGAAACAATAAAAGGCTTGAACTACTTCAGTTGTGTGTAATGAATCTAATATATATGAAAATCTACTGTTTATCAGTACATTACAGACAATAATGAACTTTATCACAATATGCTAATTTTTTGAGAAGGACCTGTATTTGCGTGGCGTGGCTGATCTGTGGGTCTCCGGAGGCAGCAGACAGGTACCGGATAGCCAAGCGGGGTGCAGCAGTGGGAGTTGCCGAGGCAAAATCTCGGGTGTGGGAGGAGTTTGGTGAGGCCATGGAGAAAGACTATCGACTGGCTCCAAAGAGGTTCTGGCAAACTGTCCGGCGCCTCAGGAGAGGGAGGCAGCAACTCGCTCACACTGTTTACAGTGGGGATGGGGAGCTGCTGACGTCAACTGGGGCTATAGTCGGACGGTGGAAGGAATACTTTGAGGAGCTCCTCAATCCCACCTACGCGCATTCCGAGGAGGAACCAGAGCCGGGAGACCTGGGGATGGACTGTCCAATCTCGGGGGCAGACGTTGCTGAGGTAGTCAAACAACTACACAGCGGTGGAGCCCCGGGGGCGGATGAGGTTCGTCCTGGGTATCTCAAGGCTATGGATGTTGTAGGGCTGTCGTGGTTGATACGTCTCTGCAACATTGCGTGGTCATCGGGGCAGTTCTTGTGGAGTGGCAGACCGGGGTGGTGGCCCCCATCTTTAAGAAGGATGACCTGAGGGTGTGTTCCAACTGTAGGGGGATCACACTCCTCAGCCTCCCTGGAAAGGTCTACTCCAAGGTACTGGAGAGGAGGGTCCGATCGATAGTTGAATCTCAGGTTGAGGAGGAGCAATGTGGTTTTCGTCCTGGCTGTGGAACTGTGGACCAGCTCTATACCCTTGCAAGGGTGAAGGAGAAGGCATGGGAGTTTGCCCGACCAATCCACATGTGTTTTGTGGATTTGGAGAAGGCTTATGACCGTGTCCCCAGGGGCACCCTGTGGGGGACGCTCCAGGAGTATGGGGTGGGTGGCTTTCTGTTAAGGGCCATTCAGTCCCTTTACCAGAGGAGCGTGAGTTTGGTCCGCATAGCCGGTAGTAAGTCGGACCTGTTCCCGGTGAGGGTTGGACTCCGCCAGGGCTGCCCTTTGTCACTGGTTCTGTTCATTACCTTTATGGACAGAATTTCTAGACGCAGCCGTGGGGTGGAGTGTGTCGAGTTTGGTGGCAGGAGAATCTCGTCTCTGCTTTTTGCGGATGACGTTGTCCTCCTAGCTTCATCCAGCTATGACCTTCAGCTCTTGCTGGTTAGGTTCGCAGCCGAGTGTGAAGCGGCTGGGATGAGGGATCAGCACCTCCGAATCTGAGACCATGGTTCTCGACCGGAAAAGGGTGGCTTGCCAACTCCGGGTCGGGAGAGAGGTCCTACCTCAAGTGGAGGAGTTTAAGTATCTCGGGGTCTTGTTCACGAGTGAGGGTAGGAGGGATCAGGAGATCGACAGGCGGATTGGTTCAGCATCTGCAGTGATGCGGACGCTGAGCCGATCTGTCGTGGTGAAGAGGGAGCTGAGCCTGAAAGCCAGGCTCTCGATTTACCGGTCGATCTACGTCCCAATCCTCACCTATGGTCATGCGCTTTGGGTAATGACCGAAAGAACGAAATCGCGCAAACAAGCGGCCAAAATGAGTTTCCTCCGTAGGGTGGCCGGGCTCAGCCTTAGAGATAGGGTGAGGAGCTCAGACATTCGGGAGGGACTCGGAGCAGAACCGCTGATCCTCCGGATTTAAAGGAGTCAGTTGAGGTGGTTTGGGCATCTGGTCAGGATGCCTCCTGGACGCCTCCCTGGGGAGGTGTTTCGGGCATGTCCTGCCGGCAGGAGGCCCCCGGGTCGACCCAGGACACGTTGGAGAGGTTACATCTCCAATCTGGTCCGGGAACACCTTGGGGTCCTGCCGGAGGAGCTGGTGGAGTTGGCCGGGGAGAGGGCGGTCTGGAGCTCCCTAGTTGGGATGCTGCCCCCACGACCCGGACCCGGATAAGCGGAGGAAGACGACGACCTGTATTTGATAGAAGAGAAAAGAAGTTCACACAAACCCTTTGATGAGGAGACGTGTTTCCTCTTGGCAGATAAACGTACCCGTTTGTTTGAATAAAACACCTTTAAAAGTACAAACAAAACATTAAAACATTAGACAATATCAAGAGCAAATTAGTTTGGAAGCCAACAAGGCTTCAGCAGCTTTAGTGACAATGTTCAGAAATATTAATTCCCCTCACATATTGGAAAATGTTGATAAAACAGTGATTGTTTGATTGAAATCTGCAGCAAAATATATATGTATGTATGTATATATATATATATACACACATACATACATATATATTTATATAATGCACAATTTATAAATAAAAAAATCTACCTAACTTAGTCATAATGCGAAAAGAACGATGGATTTAATATAAAACTTAAAGGTTGTGGTTGTTGCTCACTATAATGATCAAAAATGCAGTTTCCATTTTCACCACACGGTGGCAGCAACTCCCACTAGCCACAAAAATGCAGAACAAAAAAGTTTTAAAATTAGCTAGATTATAAACATGAAAAGAAAACAAGGTCAAAAGTGAGCGGTCGATACTGACGAGTGTTTTATTAGTAACACAAACATGGAGATAGAGCCAATAAGAAGCCGCTGTGAGCTTTAACGAGACTGACGTTGTTCAAAAGGCATTTTAAGATAAGAGGGAGTCTTATAGTCAAACCCAAACAATCAGGGGTGAGAACGCAACATGGAAGGTTGCAAGTTTGAGTTAAACAGAGAACAATCTGCAACAAAAACAGAGAAGGGGAAATTAAGTGCAATTCCTATTAGATGTAATCAGGATGGCATCAAAAATCAAAAATAAAGAGGTGAAGAAAATGTCCCGGTATGCAAAATTCATTCCATTGTGTATCACGGTATCAGAGAAACAATCAGATATGTAAACGGCAGCACAGCAGTCCACATATCGTTACAAGTCTCTTTATGACCGAGTCTCATGGGGAGCCTTTGGGGGGAGGAGAAAAAAGTTTCACAATAAAACTACCCGAGGGTGTTTTGTTGCGAGCAAAGTCTATCAACATGAATGAAATCCATCCATTCTCATTGGGCAGGGGAATAAAGAAGTACCTTTGGAATAAATTAATCAACCTTGAGGTTTTACGATTGTTTTTCTCATTTTCCCACACTGGTTTGCTTTGATGGAGGTGAAGCAGATTGGTGAGGTGTCTGCTGAAGGGACAGGATGATGACTGAAAGGAGGGAAGGTGTAAAGGTGTTTTTGTTGCTTCTTCTTTCTCGTCTCCAGTTCCTCACAAAAAAGTTTAAAAAGGATTCGGTAACTCGCGTACACAAGCTCGCCTCCATAGCCGCCCAGTCAGTATCAGGAGCTGTAAGGCAGAGAGGCTCCGTTTTGTCTTGGAAAAAAATGCAAAGAATTAAGAAAGAGGAAAAAAGCAAAGCTGGCTCCTTCTCCCCTCCCCTGTAGTTTTTGTGATCCCTTAACTGTTCATCCAGGGTCAGACGGTCGACTTGACCCTCCTCCAGAAACAAACAAGAGAGCAGGTGGGCCGCCTGAGCGGGAGCGGAGGGCAGGTGGAGACCAGCGGAGAGGAAGAGAATGGTCAACAAGCCACGCCCCTCTCCAATCAGCCAATCACCAGAGCCGGTGCTGGTGGAGGTTTCGACTGAGGACGGAGCGAACGTCAGCGGTGAACCTTTGAGATGATGAGAGAACAGGAAGTTTGTGGCGTAAACATGTAATTCAAATCTGAACAGAAGTTTAGCTCAAGCTAACAGAAACAGGGAGACGACTGACCTGCTCTTCTCAAGTTCAAAAAAATTCTATTAACAAGAAGCTAATTAAGGCTAAGCCTTCAAACCCATTTCTGTTACATCTAAGCAGCAAAATCTTTTCCTAACATACTTAGTCAGTGGTTCTTTATGCTTTTTGATGATTTTTAAAATGTTTTCTTTGAACTTTGCTGATAATTAAACTGAAGCAAACATCTTTACTGTGAACTAAATTTACTGTGTATCTTCATTCCTTTTACCGTCTTTTTTCATTTGATTTTTCCTACTGGGAAGTTAGAATTTCCGAGGAGAAAGCGAACACACCAGTAGCTGATAACAATGGTGGCAATGGAAGCTAACATATAAAGCTAACGTTATCTTAAACAGTTTATTTAGCTTCTGGAGAATATTAGAACGATGATGCCTCACACTTAGAGCGTTGTCACTGGTTTCATCTTCACCCAATCACCCGTCGCATTTAGTAAAGTGAAGCCAAACTTTAGAGCGGCGCGCGTTCATGTTCTTCTAGTCGGAAATTCGGAGTTCCGAGGAAAAAGCGAACGCACCATTAGTGAAACGGAAGCTAACATATCAAGCTAACGTTATCTTAAACATTTTATTTACCTACCGGAGCAGATTAAGATGAGGATGTCTCACTTAGATCGTTGTTACTGGTTTCATCATCACCCAGTTACCCATCACATTTATGGGCCATTCCCATCTGTACCGGGTCGGCCCGGGCCGGGTAGCGTAGGTTGTTTACATATCTGGGTGGCCTGGTATTTTTCCGGGCCAACCAAGGCTCATTCTCAGCCCTCTTCTCGAGGGAGTCTGCTTCAGGCCGACCAGGACCAACACACCCACTGCTGACAGCAAATTCACACCTTCCATTAGAGCAAGCCTCTGATTGGTGGGTAGAATCAGCCCACATGGGCTTAAGACAAGGATGTGTGGAATCAACCGGGCCAGGCTGGGGCCGAATGGGGCTACCCGGCCCGGGCCGACCCGGTACAGATGGGAATGGCCCACTTGTGAAGTGGACCCAAGCTTTAGCGTGCGTTCTTTCTACCATGCTGCTCTGTTTACAACTGGCTCGCGGGGACCGACGACATAACGCTCTTGCGCATGCGCAGCTGTCTAGGCAAGTTCTCGTTATGAAGGACAGGTACCGAAACGAGGCACCGTTTGAAATGACGTGAATCGGTGCTCAGTCAGTACTATGAAATTCGGACGGTACCTTAAAAAGTACCGAATTCGGTACCCATCCCTAAATACTATATATTGCAATGTATTGTGATGTATATCATATCTGTTTTGTGAGATGTATGGTATTCAGCGATGCCAGTAACGCACATCGTCTGTTTGCTTCTATGCTGACTTCATATCATCATTACCTTAGTGCATCCAGCATAGGCAGCAAGTTAAGAAGTGCTGTGTCACTAGGGTCACTGAACCAGGACTTGATTGGTATTGCGTTGTCTGAAAGGCAGAGAATAGAAGAATCAGAGGAGTGGACTTCTTCATTTTCATCCGCAGAGACCAACGTAAAACCACGCTCGATAGTGAGGTGTACAGGAGAGATGCTTAGGCCAATCTGAAGGGGATGTGAGGGCATCTGGAGGAATCACACTCACTCTACATACACAATCTATTGCTAAAACCTTATAGACTAACTGGATATAATGTAGGTGGTCGTAATGTTTTGGCTGACTGGCGTATATAATATAACATTTTTATTAAGCAGATTAACTTTTTAAAATTCACATCAAAAGGAAAAAAGGCAACAAACGTTCAACTTCAACCTGAAAAATCTGGATTTAAGTTTTTTGATTAAATTCATTTCAATGCTTAATGAAATGAATCACATTTACTGCCATCAAAAACAATTATTAAATAAAAACCAGAAAACGTAGAACAATTAAGGGTTTTCTTTAAGGAAAGTGGTGATTTATGATAAATAAACATGAAACTAAAGCCAGTATCTGTTGTCTGAATAATGCAGTTTAGATGAATTATTAATAAATATTCCCAGCTGCGTGTTGTTTACAGGTTAACACCAGTTCCCACACACACACACACACACAACACACAACACACACACACACACACCTTACCTGGATGACTACGATAAGCACCAGGCGAGTTGTCCAGGATAACAATACTGGACAGGTCATCGTGTACTACAGACAGGTCTTTAATATAACTACCTAGATCCAACGTACAGTGCTGGAAAACACAAACACATAAAACTCACGTTGGCATCGTTTCACATCGTCTCTTCATATAAACACAGAGCTGGCTGGTACCTGTCTGTAGTATCTGCGCTTCAGGACATTCCTGTTGTTATCCAGCTTGTCTGCAACCGCTGAGCCGTAGATCTCCATACTGGCAGTAAAAACCACTAGCTCATACCACTGGCTCACCTGTGACACACACACACACACACAGTTCAACAACACAATAACAGACACACACTGGGTAATGAGGCAGATCAGAGCTGAGTTGTTTTACTCACCACTTCTAAAAAGAAGTCAACATGTGGCCTTTTATGTACAAAGAACCTGACTGGATGTTTATCAATGACGACCTGTCAGGAAACAAACAAACAAACAAACAAACAAACAAACACACACACACACACACACACACACGTCATACTACAGTCCTCAGACACATGTTGTGGTTGAGTTACGTGGGACTGAACTGACTTTAAGGATAAAGTCTGGCGGCGTGCCAGGTCTCACTGTGGGCCTGAGAACCCCGTCATGGTGAGAATGGATCAGGGTCTCGTCCAAGTCCAAAACCAGGATCTTCCTCTTTACTGCATCTGGAGTTCATTGGGGAAACAAATGAAGACATTAGGGGTGTGTGTTGGGAAGAATCTTGCAATGCAATATTAGAGATGTTGGAAAATATCGACACACTGAAATACTGCAACATTTTGTTTTATTTTAAATGAGCGCCGTCATGGCTGCTCTCGCGGTCTGCCTGTATCTGTCCTGTCTATATGTGTGTGTGTAATCTTGGTCAAGCTGTACTGTGGAGTCAAGTTCCTATGCTCTGGATCGCTGGCAATAAAATTCTTTCTTTCTTTTCTTTAAGGAATCAATATTTAAAATAAGTACAGATTTTTAAATAAAAATTATTATTTAAAAATAGCAAAAATCATCACAATGTATCGCACCGTTGTCTGTAGTAGTGAAGTGAATCTCCACCACTGAGTCCGGCTGGATTCGCATCTCGACAAGCTACCAGCGATGCGATACAAAAGCGATACGGTGAAACCCTCTACCGATACGATTAATCCCTGCTCACGATTAATAAATGATGGGAAAACAATTTTTATTTTGATACAATTCATGATGCCATTTGAAACAATTTAACACACGTAAAGGAATTTCCAAGCCCACATCTGGTTTTTAAACATCACAACGTTTCTCCCTCTCCTCTGTGAAGGAAATATTTGATCCTTTATTGTTTTCGTTTCATTAATAAAGTCAACATGAAAAGAAATTGCACTTAATCAGTGATATTTACATATTAATCATATTTTTATTGCTACAATACTCAGTTGAAATGAGGTTTAGACCATCCCTCTGCTCAGAAAAATAAACCAACAGAATCAGAAAATTATTAAAATTCATCATATAATCATTAGGATTTATTACAAAACACTGTAAATGTGAACATATTTCTAAATATTGTAATGTAATATTGTATGCAATGTATTGTATATTGCAATTGTAATGCTCTGGAGAGGAGGGTCAACAGAGATTGAGGAGGAGCAATGTGGTTTTCGTCCTGGCCGTGGAACATCCTGGAGGGTGCGTGGGAGTTTGCCCAACCAGTCTACATGTGTCTGTGGATTTGGAGAAGACGTTCAACCACGTCCCTCGGGGGGCCCTGTGGGGGGTACTCTGGGAGTATGGAGTACCAGGCCCGCTGATAGGGGCTGTTAGGTCCCTGTATCACCGGTGCCAGAGCTCGGTCTGCATTGCCGGCAGTAAGTCGGGCTTGTTTCCAGTGAGAGTTGGACTCCACCAAGGCTGCCCTTTGTCACCGATTCTGTTCAGAACCTTTATGGACAGGATTTCTGGGTGCAGCCGAGGTGTGGAGGGGATCTGATTTGGTGGCCCGAGGATCGGGTCTCTGCTTTTTGCAGATGATGTGGTCCTGTTGGCTTCATCAGAACGTGATCTCCAGCTTTCACAGGAGATGTTCTCAGCTGGGATGAGAATCAGCTCCTCTAAATCTGAGACCATGGTCTTGAGTCAGGAAAGGGTAGAATGCCTTCTTCAGCTCAGGGACGAGGTCCTGTACCAAGTGGAGGAGTTTAAGTATCTCTGGTTCTCGTTCACGAGTGAGGGAAAGATGGAGCGTGAGATCAATAGGTGGATTGGTGCTGCATCTGCAGTGATGTGGGCGTTGTACCGATCAGTCATGATGGAGAGAGCTGAGCCAGAAGGCAAAGCTCTCGATTTACCGGCTGATCTACGTTCCTTCCCTCACCTATGGTCACGTTAAGAGAAAAGTAAATAATTCAGATGCAGGGAGATGCGAGTTTATCTCAGCTGTTTAATGGACTTCTCTGAACCATTGTGAAGGGCAAAATATCTTTGTGTCAGGATATTTTCGCCCTGTACTTTACTGAAAAGAGACACGCATTGCAAGATATAGCCTTTCAGTTGTACCCGATGCATACTGAAGCTACCGGTGCAGTCGCATCGCTAACTTCATGAAGGAAACCCTGGTTCCGATCAGGAAATTTCTCCATCCCTACAGTACAGTGATTAAGGGTGTGCATTAGCAAGAATCTGGCGATACATCACAATACAAGGAGACAATACAATAAATTGCAATACAAACATTTTGCAATTTTTAAGACTGACTTTAACACACAACTCTTGTTTCATCAGAATGAAGATGGTGAACACTGCTGCCACCTAGCAGTCAAAGTTTGAAATGCACCCACAAGAAATAATGTAAATGCTTGAAAGTTCATTCTCAAAAATTCATATATATAAACTGCTTTTAAATATTGATTCAGCATCCTAACATGAAATACTGTGGTATCTTCGTGTATCAATATTTTTACATTCCATTAACCCCGTTTTTTTGGATCTTGCACAGGACTGCTCATGCCACTGAGAACTCTAGCAAGGCGGCACGATGTACAGCACAAGATTTCAGTGAGCCAAACTGCACAACATCTTGCTCTAGCAGGCCACATTACATCAGCAGGACACGTCACTAAAAGCCGACAGCTTATCAAAACAACAATGCTGAAATGAGAACAAAGGGAAACCGTCAACACTTCATAGTCTCTGAACCCAAAGTCCAAAAGGGAGCGATCACAAATGTTCCTGCATGTTGCTAATGTTGCCAATTCTACTCTTGTACTCACGTCACTCCCTGGGTGTATTTTCATTGGTCGATCGCAGATGGTAGGTTTTCAAGCAGTGCTTGATGACTTGCGGTTTGTGACGGTGCTCAATAAGCTGTCGCAGAGCCAGTCACACTGGACGGACACAGATCACCATCCTGTTCAGTTTTTTTAATCACGATTCTGTTCACGACGAGGGACTTGTCCAGGACGGCCGAAAAACGCACAGTGTGGTCTGGGGTCTCATTTATCAAACATAGCATAGAATCCTTACTAAAACCGCACTTAAGCTCAGCAAAAAAAAAAGTACTTACGCCAAGTAGGTTTGTGATCTATCAAACATGGAGTACACACAGCTGCACGCAGTCTCCGCTTCATGAATCAGAGACTATCTAGAAAGGTTCTCAGCTGCTTTTTAGTCACATCCCGCCCTCACCACGCCCACTTACTGCCATAAATAGTCAATGCAAAGTGCCTTGTGGATCTCATGCATATGCATAAGCCGGCTGTTGCAGCGCTCTGCCAATGACATGGTGACCGTAGATCAAGGCAGATCAAGGAAGCGCTATTACACAGAAGCAGAAGTTGAGGTACTTGTGGGTGAGGTGGAGAAATGAAAGGAAGTGCTTTTGCAAAACAAATAAGAGAAAATCCACGGAGTGGCACAACGTTGCTGAAGCCGTCAATACTGAGTTCTTCAGAGAGAGATCTGTGGCGGATATAAAACAATGGTCCAATCGGGATTCGATCCCCAGACTCCCGGGTGAAAGTCACGTGCGCTAACTAGTCACCCAAACGGAGATCTCCCTTGTCCAAGTAGCCAGGGCGCATGATCAATCGGGTCACAGTGACAGGACACACACACTGTCACAGACGCATGATGTTCTGTCTCAATCTGTCCCCCTGCTGATATCTGCATTCCATATTCTACGCTTCAGGCTGTGTGTGTGTGTGTGTGTGTGTGCGTGCGTGCGTGCGTGTGTGGGGGGTCTTGTTCTGTGTGAGCACGAAGCGGTACAAGTGATAAAGCTGCAGGATTTCATAATTGTATCTTCTCAGCAGCAGCACTGCAGGTCCAACATGTGCGTAAGCCAGGTCCTTAGTCAACTTAAAGTTTCTTTCATAAATCCCAAAGTTTGCGTGGAAAGTTGCTTACGCAGCTTTCCGACCCTGTTTTGTGCGTAAGCAAGCTTGAAAAATGAGGCCCCAGGGCTTTAGGTTAAATATTAAAAGAATAACAACGGACATTTCCATGTTACTGGCTAAATACGGGTGTGTGCACTAGCAGGAATACAGCAGCTTATGATTCATTTAAATGAATACGCTAACCACTGTAGCCATTTTAAAATTCATAATAAAACTTAACCTGGTCTTATTTCTTACTCTCACTCTGAAATCAGGACTTCATCGTGGTTGTTCTGGAGCAAAAGCCCACAACGCATTACTTAAACCTTTTTCAGAAGTCCCTTTGTTAGCTTAGCTTTATTTACACAGAACCAAGTTCAGGAGAGCAGGTATAAGAATGATTTTATTGAGATGAGGATTTATTTATTATATAGGATCATGAAAGCAGTCACTGACATGTGATGAGATTTAAAGACCACTGCAGACACCTCCTCCTTTAACCACACACACTCATCAGCTCCACTTGGTCTCGGCTAGATTAACGTAAGGGATTTAGCCTGGACCTGGATCTCCACCTGAGCTCGGGCACAAGGAGAGACGAGTCAAGTAGAACTGAAATGCGATCCATGCCGCACGTGGAGAGGCTGCTGCTGAGCAAGCCGGTAAAGGCGAAGTTCGTTCAGCACACATGCGCTCATCCACATCTCCTCTTCTCTTCCACAAACAAAAACAGGTTTCGTCACATAGAAAATGAAGAAAAACCCCAATTGGTTTAAATTCTGCAGCCAGATGACGAAGCCTGATACCGATCACTATCATCTAGCGCTGACGTTTCCCTTCCAACATCATCAGCGCGGTTACAAAGAGGCTAAACTCATTTACAGCTGCCCAGCAGGCCCATGCTTCCTTTAAAGGTGCCAACGCTGAGATGTCTAAAAGGAAATCGATTCTTTCTGTTCAACATGTGTTACTGCAGCAAGTAATAACCTAGGAGAAAAGAGTCTGATCTGTTGTTGTGTTAAAGAAGTAAACGCCACAGAAACGATGATAAATGAGCCTCCCTGCCATACAGCGTGCTAGAAAGCCTGAGTTGGTGGTCACATCCTTTGAGGTGAGGAAGTGGTGCATGAATAGGAGCTGATATGTTTACAAAGAAAAACACTTTTCTGCACAAGGACTTCCTACTCGCCAAACTGGTTTAGCGATGGAAACGTGATTGTTTTCACGCCGTCAAAGCTAACGCCACACAGAAACACATTAAACCAGGAGGCTAATGAGCTTTGAAAGAAAAGCTTCTGGACTTCTTTGAGTTGCTTGAAGACGTTTCACCTCTCATCCGAGAGGCTTCTTCAGTTCTAAGGTCAAATGGTGGAGAGTCCCAGATTTAAACCCAGTGGGAGTTTCTCCCCGAAGAGGGAACAAAAGACCCCCTGATGATCTTCTACATAAACACATGAGCCAAGGTGTGAGGGTGGGTGTGGGTCTTGGGTCTGGGTTCTTTCAAAGCTCATTAGACCACAATGACCTGGATGACTGAGAACCTTCACAGACATTAAACCAGGAGATTAAAACACTCGTGTACTCACTGAGTCTGTTTCTGGAGATGGGAGACAGGGGCAGAATGTCGTATCGCACCGTCTGATACTGGATTATCTGGGAAGGAAAACAAAAACAGGGAGAATGAGACGGACGGTCCTCGTCAGAGCAGGAGACGTTTAAAGCACAACTCCAGATTAAAGTTGGTTTGTGTTTAACAATCTGGATTATTGTGCTGGGAATCCTTTAAGGTGTGGATCCTAAATGTGATCAGGATTATAATCCAGACTTTTCAGTTTATAATAACATAATTATACACATAATTAATAATCCTCCAGTTATGATCAAAGACCAAAATGAATCAGGTCTGCCCTGCAGCTCCTCTGGAAGTCTCCTCCTCCAATTGGATCGCATCAGAACAAGGAAGATCCTTCTGAGAGTTTGGAGGGGTGTGTTGGGGGGGGGGGGTGCTCTCCTCCTCACTGGGTTATTTTTATCCCCCCAGCTGTCCGTCGGTGTCAGAGGAGTCTGGGGTACTTGCTGGGTGACTTTGAGCTGGCTGGTACCTCAGGGCCTCCCTGTGACCCCCGCACCCTACCTCTCGAGTAAACTCGGGGTGGGTGAGTGTGTGTGTGTGTGTGTGTGTGTGCGCCTACAACCTCTGAGCACCCACACAGAAAACCTGTATCTCTAACCAAATCTGGACCACCAATGTTACATTGTTTACATCCAGATTAAATCTTAAAATGTTTAATCTGTGAATATAAAATTATTTCACACGGCCGAAAATTTTAATCCTTCTGGTGATTTATTGTCTCCAGCAGCAGAGACCCCAGTGACATGCTGGCTTTAGCTTTCTAGGTCCAACCCCGTCCTCAAGTCGCCTCGCCTTCCTCACACGTTCCGTCTCACAGAAAATCTGGATTAAAAAGATTTATCACTTTTATCCATTTAGGACTTTTTTTCCACAACATTTACAGTGAAAACATGCATTTTAGGTCTACTTTACATTAAATCATCAAGACCCACGACTGGAGTTCAGTGACCCTGAGTGGGGCGCTGACCCCATCTTTGAAAGCCACACAGATCTAATGGAGGTCATTGTAAAGAGCATCTAACTGGCTCGCTGATGCGTCCAGATTAGATTATAGAAGTCAGATTTATTAATGAAACTTTAGCTCCACAGTGCCGATCACCATTTAAACCACATCAGCAGGCAGAGTGTCCATGTTCCCGTCCACCACCTCTAACCATGAAGCCAACTCGTCTCCTTTATGGAAATGACCCCGGCTCTCCACCGGACGCATAAGCAGCGCGCGACGCAACAAACGCGTTTTCCCCACAAACTCAGCGGCGCGGCACTTCAGTCATGAATCGATAGAGCAAAAGAGTTCCGAGCACCTGGTCCCGCAAGGTCATGAAATCACAGGAGAGTTTCAAGATCACATGAGATTTTAGTCGCATTCGGACTACAGTATAGGAACCTTTTTGTAGGTTCTATAAACTTTTCAGGAACCAGCCTGGTTTTGTGCACATTCAGACAGATAGGAACTAGGAACCTTTCTCCTCAGTTCCTAGAACCACCCATCCGTTTTCTTTACCCGCTTATCCTCGCAGGGTTGTGGGGATTCTGGTGCCTATCAGCGGTCTCCAGGCACGCAGGCGGGGTACACCCTGGACAGGTTGCCCATCCATCACAGGGCAACACAGAGACACACAGAACAAACAACCAAGCGTGCGTGCACGCGCGCACACACACACACACACACACACACACCTGAGGACCGTTTAGAGAGACCAGTTAACCTGACAGTCATGTTTTTGGACTGTGGGAGGAAGCCAGAGCACTCGGAGAACCCACACATGCACAGGGAGAACATGCAAACTCCTTGCAAAAAGACCTCAGGTCAGGATTTGAACCCAGGACCTTCTTGCTGCAAGACAACAGCGCTAACCACTGCACCTCCTAGAACCATATTAGCTCCTGATCAGCGATGGAGTCTTTCAGTTCCTGAGGAACTAACGTGAGGTTTAAAAGTTCACATGATGACAAGCAACAAGAGATCTGTTCTGTTTATCACGGCTACCAAAGTTTTAAGTCCCACAGTCATCATCACAAACAGATGAAATTACATCTCAATCCAGGCGAGGCGCAAACCGGAAAATCTTCTGCAGCTCACACTCAGACAACAGAAAAAGCTAAAAACACACCGATTGGTCCTGATGCAAGAAGTGAGTCTACTCTTCTTTTGGTAGTTTTGGTGTTTACATGGTCAGAGCACAATGTTCTGAGACTCTTCAATAAATAGTCAAAATGCTCAAAAATGCTGGCAGTCGGGGGCTTTCTGATCAGAAAACAGATGGCAGTGAATGAGTTAATAATTAAGCAACTAGAAATCTGCATGCCTTTTATTTTGAAAGTTTCCAGATGTTTCACACTGGTCCGGTGTTTGACTTCCTTTCTGGCCCAATCTGAACTGCTGAGCTGGATGTGTTTTGGAAGAAAAAAAAGTAAGCATAGCAACGCGTCCAAAACACACCCGTCGACTATAATGGTGCGCCGTGCTACGCTTCGCAGTCGTTACACAAAGCATACATCTGGTGGCATGGCCCGGTTACTGTAATGGAAAAATAATCTGAAGATCTACAGAAAGAATTCTAATCAATTAAAAAATATTTCCGTTGGTATTTTCAACCTGATCTTTAAAAAAAGGCTAAAAACAAAATGGCTTATTAGTAATGAATGCACACTTGAACAAAAGACATGACGACCAACTTATTCTCACCAGAAGCTGAAACTAGAGTGACTCTGCATTAAAATTTGCACTCTGGCTAAAAATAAAGCACCTCTATTTTGGTTTGATGTTTGTTAATCTAGACTAATCGTTTCCCTTTTAAAGTCCAGAGTTCTGCATGGACTCCAGGCCTGGAGCTACGCGCACATCATACAAGAAAATAAAGAGACACTAATGTCAGTAAGATTAATAAACAATGGTTTTGTCATTTGATACAGTGCAGTAGTGTGTGTGTGTTTGTGTGTGTGTGTGTGTGTGTGTGTGTGTGTGTGTGTGTGTGTGTGTGTGAGATTATGATCAGCTCTCCTAATCCAGAAATGTCTTTATTGATCCAAACTTTAGGATCAGTGTTGAATCACAAGGAGGGGTTTGAGGAGACTCTTGGTTTTATCAGAGATGTGGGTATCAGATCTATCTTCGTGTCTGTCCGCTACAGACCAGCCCAAAAGCACCAAGGATGAGTTTGGCAGCTGTTGGGCTGTAAACAACGGAGTTAAACTGAGATTGAGAAAGAGAGAAACAGACGGAGAGAACAGTACGCCCTCTGTGCCGACATAATCCTTCTCACTTCAGCCACAGAGCTGGACTCGACTACACACACTCAGATCCTGTTGACATCCTATGAGTGTGACCGCCTGCCTCGCAGACTAACCTGAAGCTGCACACACTCAGGCTAAGGACACCTCCGGGTTTGGTTGTCTGGGTGGAAGTACTTGTGTTCTACACCACATTTGTGTGTGTGTGTGTGTGTGTGTGTGTGTGTGTGTGTGCGCGCGCACGCAGAAGCTATGAACAGGTGGCTTCTGCTCTGCCACATCAAATGTTACGTTTATTGGGTGTGTGTCACACAAAAACAGTAAAATAAGTGAAACAAGAAGTTTCACAGCTGAATGATTCGTTTGCAACATTTCTGCTGAATGACATAAACGGTTTCTCTCAGTTATTATCTTTTGTTTTAGTTTTAGACCAGGGGCTCCCAAAGGTTTTCCACTTCAGACCCACCAAAAGCAAGTGACTCCAGATATCTGATTTACAGACACAAACATGCCACTGCTTCAGTACAAATTCACTTAAAGAACCCATAGTCATCGTCACACACTGGTGAAATTCATCTCCATCCCAGTGGGGAGCGGTGAGCTGCAGCTGTGGCTGCACTCGGGAACTATTTGGTGGTTTAATCCCCCAATCCAACCCTTTAAGGAGGAGTGTCAAGCAGGGGGGCATTGGGTCCTATTTTTACAGTCTTTGGTATGACCCGACTGTGGATTTGAACCCCAATCTTCCAGTCCCAGGGCGGACACTCTACCACTAGGCCACTGAGAAAGTTTATATGTATTAATGACCTTTTATGTCAAAATTATGCAAGAAATATAGCTTCAGCAATTGTTTCGGTTAGGGATGTTCCGATCACATTTTTTTGCTCCCGATCCGAGTCATTTGATTTTGAGTATCTGCCGATACCGAGTCCCGATCCGATACTTCAGCAATACAATAAAATAGCAAGAAAAAAGGGAGACTGCATCCAAATTGACCTGTTAGGTTTATTATTATTCTTATTATTTATATGACTGCATCCAACATGATACCCTAAGAAAGTAGAAACATTTTGTTAGTGCAGCAGCACTTCAAACCAAGTAAACAACATTATATCTTTGTAGCTTATCAGTGGTGCAACAATATGTAAACAAATTTGTTTTTATAGAAAAGTAGAAAAGGTTTGTAAAATAACTCAACACAATAATAGAAGTTAAATTAAAGTGCTTACCTCCACCTCTAAGAGGTAGTTGCATAATTCAGTCAGGTAACAAAATAAAATACATCTTAGGCCTTTGACTGACTAGTTTATTAAAACGAACAAAAGATATGCCTAATCAAAGTGGTGTACGAACTTCACCATTCAAGTATAAAACATCAACATCAAATTGCAAAGAACTGGTAAATCACCTCTTCCATGTGCTCTACATGGAGCTCAACTTTTACTCTAAGGCTCCCAAATAAAGTGCAGTTTAAAATGATTCCAAACCGCTGACATTTTTTGCTCTCCTGGAGCGAGACGAGCATTAACCTGCTAGCTAACTGCTACCTGAATTCCACGGTCCACTTTAAAACGTGTGACGTTACGGCTGCCGTATGGTGTTCTCATGTCGTTATTGAGGAAGTGAAACTTGGTACAAAATTAAGCCATCGTTATTCAATTTGAAACTCAAAATTTATTAAAAATGTCATGCTTGTTGTTTTATAAGGTTAAATCCGATCTTTAACACCCGATTCCGATCTTTTAAAAGTCACGTGATCGGGCCCGATTTCCGATCACGTGATCGGATCGGAGCATCCCTAGTTTCGGTTTTATTAATATTATGGAAATCATGTCAAGACCCTCCGAGTAACATTTGGTGACTCACAATGGGGTCCTGACCCCAACTTTAGGAACCACTGCTTGGTTTACACCAGTGGTTTGCCGTATATGCAGCAATAAAACACCCAGTAGGATAATCAAGAGTTATAATTGTCGATATAAAAAGTGTGTGACTAATTATTTTTAATGTGAGAGTGTGGGTAGGAGTTGGGATTGGGGAACCACTGATCCAGACTGTCTGAAATAACCATTTGAAGACCTCAAACATAACATTTAAATGCAGGGTTTCCAAGAGTCTCAAGCAGTGCCTTACACTAGAAGAGTCTGTAAAATATGGCTAAGTTCAACATAAATTTAAACAACCTCATTGCAACCATTCAAATTAAGTCAGAATTTTGTATTATAAACTGAAATGTCCCTTTTAAAACCTTATGAATGATTTCTTGGACCAGCGAGGACATGATCCCTCATTATGCTGGCAGGAAGTCCTTAGATAAAGATCAATAAATGTGATCAGTTGTAAGTGTGATTAAAACCCGAGATGAATGGGTTCTAGTGACATCCTGTGCAACTCTGGTGTTGCAGATGTGTTTACACTTCTACAACACACACAGCTGTTGTTGTGATCTGCTATCCGAGTATTAATAGTGATTGTAATGGCTTAGGAGAAGTTGTGTCATTTCTGACCAGCAAACACGTAAAAGGAGGTGTAACCTGAGGCTCTTCTCACCGTTCGGAGGTGCTTCCTGAGAATGTACATGATGAAGCCCCATATTCTGGATGTAACGCTGAGGAAAGTCCGGATGCCGAGTAGACACTGCCGGGTCTTCAGCATGGTGACGAGCACGCAGAGACCCCACAGCGAGTCTCCTTCTTCAATCCTCAGCTGGTAGTTGGTGTTAGAGCCAAACTGCTCCTGTGGAAGGGATCCTGGGGATACGTAACAGTCTGAAACCGTCTTTAGCTTCAACCGCCAAAAACTAGCTAGCACCAAGAGGCCGGGCTCTGCACGCAGCGTGGAGCGAGTAGCACCACACAGATTGTTGTAACAGAGACACGCCAGCAGGATGGAAAACACCAGCCTCTGCACGACGTCTGCTGCCGTTTGGACCTTAACACGCAGCAGCTCGTTTAGCTGATAGCCACCGAAGCTACCGCTAGCTCGACAGGGTGACCACCTTGAACTCGGGACGAAAATACCCCCCAAAACGCCGCGAGGATACTGGTCGACGGGCACCGGGTCAAGGCCGCGTCCGTCTCTGCGGCGTCCGAAGAGAGACACTTTTGTAAAAGTTCCCCAAAGTGTCGCCGGACCGGTAAAATTCAGTTTGTAGTCCAGTGGAAGTCCGGAATGAAACTGCGAGCCGCCATCACCGCCTTGCCGTCACTTCCGCGACGAGCTCTGCGGTTGTGCGCAGCACGTCCACGTGGAAAGAAAACAAACGGGCGGGGACGAGCAGACGAGTGTTCCAAAAAAGTTAACCCAGTGGTTCCCAATGTCGGGTCCGTGACCCCCCAACAGGGTCAATACAAGATTGCAGGGGGGCCCCATAATTTTGTCTGCGTTGATTTTGTGAGGTTACCAAGATTATTTGATATGAAAAAATTGCATTTAATAAAATCCCAATAGTAAAATCAAAACACTGTACAAGCCACAACTCTGTATGTTGGTATAGGTGTAATTATTCACTTTTAACTGCGTGAATGCACATAGGAATTGAGGTTGTTAGGCCCGGAACCTAACCCTGAAACAGGGTCTTCTTGAAAAAAGGTTAGGAACCACCACTGACCTAGGTCAGTCAGTTAAAGTGACGATGTGTCGTTTTTACTATTAATCTATGGAAATATCCATTGAAATGTTGTTGAAAAGGAATTAAATGATGCCCAGTTGCTGAAAAATATTCACAGCTTTGTAACAAACAGCCATCAAAATCAGGTCTAAACTACATGGAGCGGTGTAGAGCTCCGGACGTCATGTGACTCTCAGAGAGTAGACGCCATGTTGGTAGGCAACAAATGTAAACAAAATGAACAGGATCGGCTTGGATTTTACTTCATCGGAGTTTACTTCACACTTTAAAACCAAAGAAATTGTTTTATATAGTCAGAAAGTAAATAGACTAAACATCTCCGACCCTTACCATGCCCCTGGGATACTTTTTTTTTTAAACGCCAGAAGCTGTCAGAGCGGACTTCTTACCGGACCTGGCCGGGGAAACCTTTGGGATTCCTCCGGAGGAGCTGGCCCAAGTGGCTGGGGAGAGGGAAGTCTAGGCCTCTCGACGCTACTGCCCCTGCAACCCGACTCCAGATAAGCGGATGAAAATGGATGGATGGATGGACAAATAACATCGATTTACATGTAAGAAGTTTAAATAGAGTGCTGTGCTGTTTGAATGTATAAACTGAACACCAAGAGAAATCACTAGTTTGATCTTTTTCAGTGAAAAAAAAATATGTCAGGCAGGAGCATCTCAGGATCTGTCTGAGATCGGTCTCGGTGAGACAGATAATAGCAATCCAAAGTGCTTTTTATGTGTGATCTGAAAATTGATCAACCATTGCTTAAAAATTAAATACAGCTTAGCCGGTTAATTGCTGTAAACATAAAACACGTAAACAGCAGCACGCAGAAATCACGAGGCAATGTTTTACGTGATGTTTACTTGTTGCTGTGAGTAATAAGACAGGAAAAGCCACGCCAAAATAAGTTTAGGAAGCCCACTAAGAATCATAATAAAAGCATTTAAAATAAATACCATACACAGTTGAGGAAACGTTGGTTTAAGTACCTGATATGAAGTGGTCGCTGCATAAGCGAAAACCTTTACTTTCGGGATCCCACAGTTTCAGTTTAGCCCGGTCACTAGCACGTTTTATTACAATGATCCAACGTTTGCGGTGCTCCGGATCTTGGGGAATCCTGTAGATGGCTCATTCCTTATGTCGTCCTGTTCTGCATCCTGGGGCACAACAGAAATCTACCATATTTCCCGTTTGATTGAGTTTTCTGACAATAACAAATAGTCCAGCTGCGGGCTTCTGCCTGCCCATATGGCGCAGTTTCGATTTGAACTGTTGCATGCCGGGAGAAGTGACGTCAACTCCCGGAGCTCTATAGTCTCTGGATGACGCCATAGTAGACATGGCCCAATCCCATTACTCGCCCTGCAGTCTTCAGCAAAGTGCACTTGGAGAAAATGCGTGGTACACAAGTGTGCAAATAATTACATAATTGCATCGTCGATCGCAACGCATGCCAGGATGCTGGTTGATATAATATGTAGAAAAATAATTTACTTTGACAACTTTCAAACAAACAATTATTTGAAATAATTTTACGTTCATTGCTGCTCTGTCTAAAAGTTTTAGAGCATCAACTACTCATCCTAAAATGAACTGCTTTCATGAGAAATTACATACGTTCACATAAGGAACTTGAGCCTTTTCTCCAGCAGCAGTGGATTGTGGGTAATACACTTCACCCAAGTCCACATAGATGCAAACATGGGTGAAGTGCGGATCTAGGGCGCAAAAGAGGCGTGATCAACTTTCGCACTTGAGAATCAGGACATACTATGCGCTCGCACCCCTGGTCGGGATCACGCAATTGAAGGACACAAGCGTGGAAGTGCGAGTATTGGGATTGGGCCCCAGTTTCCTTCTACAGAAGCCTGTGAGGACAAAACCCATTTACGGATGTGTAACAAACGGTTAGTAAACTTTTGCCATTCATTATTGTTGTCATTAAATAGTATGACAATTTTAATTAGCGTCATCTGATCATACCACAATGATCTGGTAATGTGAATCAATAAAACATTTAAGTAGGCATTGAACTCAGCTGGTAACTTTTTATGGTCCACTTTGGTCACAGATTAAACCATTGTGTGGTTTATTTTATGACTAAATGTTATACTACCAGTTAGCATGTAGCTTTAAGAGTTTTATCATTTTATTTTATACACTTCAAAAATGCTAGGAAAAAAATAACAAATCAGTCCAGTACTACCTAACATTTACGTCACCTCTGACTGACGGAGTTATACCTGAACCAACTGGACCATCCATCAAACCATTTCACTGAGTGGATCACATTTATGTTCATTTATCTTCTTTAAGCATTAACTGAAATAACCTAGAAAGAATCAACTCAGCTAAATAACACATTTTGAATTATAGAGATCTTATAATTAACAAGAAAACATTTTTACCCCTCTCCAGGGCCGTTGCTAGCTATTTTGGTGCCCTAAGCACAAAGTATTCGTGGTGCCCCCCCCCACACACACACACAGAAAAAACAACACAATCACTGGCATGTGACATGACTAAAGTCAAAACTATTTAACCTTTATTAAGAACTAGAGAGGCACAATGTACACATTTTATACACAACTAGAAAATTCTGAATATTAAGGGAGGAGGTTAGCATAATGGACATTTTTCTTCAGATTATACCATCAGCAGCTGATGTTCCTCTTGGCCCGTAAATGTTTATGAAATATATATTAACATGGAGCAAATACCTAATTAGAAAATAGGTTTGTCTAATTTTTCATATTAAATCTCAGTTACATAGCCTTTAGGCCACATAGGCTATTTAATAATGATATAAATCATGTCCATAGTTAACTCGTGATTAATCACAAACAGCCGCTTATTAAAAAAAAAGTTCTTACTTTACCTTGACGGTGTTTTTGTCCTTCCTGTTTTTGTGATATTTAAGTATTTGGGTGGACAAATATGATTCATTTGTTTATTTCTGTTACAAAACAGCACAGATGGGCCTATCTGACCTCACAGGGGAAACTTTATTTGACTTGAGAAAGATGTTTTTAGATGAACTTATTAAAACAAAAAAATCTTCAAACTCTTCAAGGTCTATTTTTAGATGAACAGCCTTTAACAATGCTCTGACTTATTTGTTGATACAAGTCACATGAACAGGCTGAATAAAAGGATATTTCCCTTTGTTGCATTTAACTATTTCTTCTTTAAAGAAGTGCTGATTCAGAAGAGAATAACTGCATTTAGGAAGATGATGACTTGCTACGTTTTTCTCCAGCAGTAAAAAAGCTCTAAAGCTTCTCTGAGTTTCTCTCCCCCTCAGCCTCTCTCACTCAGCTACCAATGAATGCCCGGTAGGCAGGGCCAGATTAACACCTTGTTGTGCCCTGGGCAACAATATTCAAGGGCCCCATCATCACGACCCAAGGATCACCATAATATGGTCACATACAGAATATTTTACTGTAAAATGCAGTAAATATACTCAATACTTGAATGCCGGACATCACGTAACCCCCTCAGGGTAACCTGAGGACAGTTTGTTTAATATAGGGTGATCATATTTCCATTTCCAAATAAGAGGACAGGGTATCTGTGCCTATGACATCACACTATGGCAACACCACACAAACCACGTTGGGACCCATTTTTTTGAAAGAACTAAAATTAATATCAGATTCTGCCATTAAAAGGGCTCCAAAACAATTCATATGTAAATATTTAGCATATTTACTGCAAAATCTAATTTTTCTGCTTTAGTGCTGCAACAAGGTTTTATTAATAATAAATTATTATACCTTTTGTTTTACTACAGCATCGGTACGCTTCCTGTGCACAGATTATTAACGATGCTTGTTTCAGCTGTGAGATTAGACGATAGGATCAATGAAAACATAAGTTGTCACACACTCCATGGAAACTTTCAGAGAATCCACAAATAGTGGCTTTCACATGGTTTTGTTACTTTTTGCAGGTTTAGAAAAGCAGCAGATGAGACAGCATGTCTGATAATTTAGTTTTTCATCTGATAATATTAGAACATGTCAGTAATGTCTGAGGGGCTTTTATAAACACTGTATAACTAACACTGCTGGAGAGGGCATGAATTACACAGAGGCTTCTGGGGAGCCCAGTTATGGGGTGGTGGTGGTGGGGTGTGTGTGTGTGTGTGTGTGTGGGGGGGGGGGGTCATTTTGCCTTGGCCCCCAAAATGTCTTGAAACGGCCCTGGGTGTGTGACTGAGTTTTGAAGGTGATCTGAATTGTATCAGATGTATAAATATTACATGTGTATAACTTATTGTTTTATGCAGGTAAAAACGTGTAGTGGAGATAAATCTACCTACATTTTACTTTTCAACACTTTGTTTTGTTTTCTTGTTTTTATTGAACTATTTTCCTGTCCTGTCTGTCTCTCATCTTCCTGCATCTCCTCTAAACTCTCCAGAAAATTTGCTGCCTGGATTCTTACTTTTTCACCTCATCAGTTACTTTTGAGCAGATCAAAGCGGATCTCCTGACCGCAAAGCGGAGAGCGCACTTCGATACTGCGTCAGTGAGGTGAAATCACCGCAGCACAGGTGATGAGCTCCGCAGCAGCAGAGCGCCTCAGGCACAAATAAGACAGAAAATAGAGAACGTGTGCAGACATGAACGATCGTGGGTTAATTATAGTTTTTTGGTTGCGCCACTTTGAGAATGGACCGTGTGCTGGAAGCAGCAGCCTGGAGCGCTGCGCAATAACGCGCTGTGCCGCTCTGTGCTCTCTGCTCAAAAGAGTCCATAAATGATGTAATATAGGTAGAAAACTTTTTTCCGGCTCCCCTGGATGTGTAGGATATATAGCTCTCCCATAATTCGATCCCTGCTCCTGGATGAAAAGTGGGACATTTTCATCAAGAACCCCCCAGACGCCCGGACAGACAGTGAAAAGTGGACACGGTCCATCTCCTTTCCTTTTTGTATTGTTTTCTCTCTGTAAACATGCTGTTAACTTGCTTTGCACATCTTCTAATTGAAATCTGTCTTTATCATATATATATATATATAAATTTTTCATAAGCTTGCGTTTGGTGCCCCTCCCCTGGCGTGGTGCCCTACGCGCTATGCGTGGTGTGCGTATGCGGAGCGCCGGCGCTGCCCCTCTCCCTGGGCTGCCACCTTACCATGGTGGAGGGGTTTGAGTGTCTCAGTGATCCTAAGAGCTAAGTTGTCTGAGGCTCTCTGCCTCTGGTAGGGTCACCCATGGCAAACAGGTCCTAGGTGAGGGATCAGACAAAGAGCAGCTTAGGTGTGTTCTTGCTGTGTCTTTCTAAATCCATTCTTTCGTTCTTTTTTAAACACAGAAACAGTTTTGTTTACCTGTTTGTAGCTACAGTTTCGCCGACAGCTGCCGGCTTCTTCAGGCTGACGCTGATGGTGGCGCGTCACTTCCTTCTCCGTTTATCTGCGGGCAGCAGAGGACGTTGTCGCCGTCCATCGTCGGAGAGGGGAGAGCGGGCAGTAGAGGGCGACAACGTCCTCTGCTGCCCGCAGATAAACGGAGAAGGAAGTGACGCGCCACCATCAGCGTCAGCCTGAAGAAGCCGGCAGCTGTCGGCGAAACTGTAGCTACAAACAGGTAAACAAAACTGTTTCTGTGTTTAAAAAAGAATGAAAGAATGGAGACAAAGAGCAGCCCAAAGACCTCTTATGATGAATTATATAAATGGAAACAGTGTTCCCACGCCCGGACGTGGGTCACCGGGGCCCCCCTCTGGAGCCAGGCCTGGAGGTGGGGCACGTTGGCGAGCGCCTGGTGGCCGGGCTTTCACCCATGGAGCCCGGCCAGGCACAGCCCGAGGAGGAAACGTGGGTCCGCCTTCCCATGGGCTCACCACTCGTGGGAGGGGCCAAAGGGGTCGGGTGCAGTGTGTGACGGGTGGTAGTTGAGGGCGGGGACCTTGGCGGTCTGATCCTCGGCTACAGAAGCTGGCTCTTCAATCAATCAATCAATCAATCAATCAATCAATCAATCAATCAATCAATCAATCAATTGTAACGTGAGGAAATATGGGTTTTCTGTCACAATGGTGGTGTTGGACGCAGCTGGGTCAAAGCTGGGTCATTGAGAACTTTCACCCACAGATTAAGACCTTAACGCCAGCGAGTCTGGGAGGAAACCATAACATCAGCCACCTGCAGTCTACCAGACGATGTGTTTCCATGAGTTGTACCCAGACCAAGTCAAAACATAAAGTTTAAACTTCTGTTTCTTGATTTTAATGTTAAAGTAACCATTATCATTTTGCTCATTATAAATGTGTTTGATCAAATGAATGGTTCTTATGCTTTGGGGTAATTATAATGGCTTAATGAATCCATAATTAGATAGTGTTGAGGATGTTTGTTGCTGACCTTCACACACAAACATTCACACACACCCACACACATCTTCCCACAGTAAACTCCAGACACATTTGATGACGCACACGTTTGCTTTGAGAAGAGAAAGGTTTTTGGTAAGTTTCAGTCTTATGATTGCAGTTCGTGCTTGACAACGAAAAAGAGTGGACCTGAAAACCAAAGGGGGGACAGAGCCTGTTGGCTCGTTTCTCCCCCCCCCCCTTTTCTCACGCCATTCCTGCCAAGCCAGGCAGAATAGCTGAATCGCAACTTCTAACGCAGACTCATTACCGAGTCTTTTGATTTCTGAGTGAATTAACTTAAGAAAGCGCATCGACAAAACGCTTTACCATCAACGTGTACCGAGGGCAACTCTGAACCGGTTCGCGGCGCATCTTTGTCTTCTTTGCCAGCCAAGGTGCCCTGGATGAAACATCATCCTAAGGTGACGTCCCGGGTCCAACAGAGGGTCCGATTTTCGGTGAGGCAAAACACGACAGATAGCGTTTTGATGCATCTTTTCCAACTAAACCTAAGTTTATTCAAACCATCACTTTTCACCCAGACACCTGTTTCTTCCTGAAGCAAATTCAGACTCACACACGCATCCATCTCACCTCATCTCACCACACTTTGCACCCACACGCATCCATAATCACATCATATCACTCTCACAACTCACGACATTCTCAATCTTCATAAATTCACCAGAAGGTCTATTTGAGCAAGAACAGCATATCAACTGTTAAAGATTGTCCCACAAAGTTGCGAATGTTGATTGTTATTTCCTGTTTGTCAATTTCAAAATCATTAGTTTAATTTGAAGAATTAAAACTTTTAATTGTCAAACTGGTTTCCTCATTGAACTGAAACACAGACACTCAGATATTATCGGCAGTTTATCGATGAAAACAACCTTTGAGTCTTCTTAACAATAAAACTGAGTAAAGACAGTTTCTCCTTACAATATGACCAGCCAGCCAGTTTTACAATATAACTGAGCCAGTCAATATTTTCTTTACACAATCAATCAAAGCTTTATTTATATAGCGCCTTCCGCAACCCTGTTGGGTAGCCCAAGGCGCTGAACATAGTACATGACAAAGTTAAATATGGTGAATAAATCGAAAATAAAAGCAGTTCAAATTACAAATGACAAAAAAAGGTAAAACATTCTAGTAGAAGACAAATGGGATAGAGTGAACCAATGAAAACAGGGAAATAAAATTAACATTAAAGATGGCCAAATTCAAACATGTTCAGGAAACGCCAAGCGGAGGAGGTGGGTTTTTAGGTGACTCTTAAAGACTGGCAGAGATGGGGACAGCCTAACTGAGGGTGGCAACTGGTTCCAGAGTGACGGTGCTAGGACTGAGAAAGCCCGGTCCCCACGAGTACGACACCTCGAACGAGGGACAGCGAGCAGGCCTTGGTCAGAGGAGCGCAGAGCGCGTGATGGGGAATGTCTGTTCAGGAGTGTGGCTAGATAGGGGGGAGCATTACTTTGGAAGAAATTGTAGACAAAGACGAGGAGTTTGAAGTGTGAACGATAACAAATCGGAAGCCAGTGCAGGGAGGCCAGAACCGGAATGATGTGGTCCCGTTTCCTGGTCCCAGTCAGGAACCTGGCTGCGCTGTTCTGCACAACCTGTAGGCGACGCAGTGATGACTGACACAAACCTGCATATAGAGAGTTGCAGTAATCAAGCCTAGAAATTACAAAGGCATGCAGTACCCGCTCCAGGTGGGCTCTTGACAGCATAGGCTTGATTTTTGCAAGGCGTCTCAGGTGAAAGAAACTGGACCGGATCACAGAGTTGATGTGAGCATCAAATTTAAGTCCATCATCAACTTTCACCCCCAAACTGGTGACGACTGGTTTTGAGTAGGGAGAAAGAGGGCCAAGATCAACATAACAACCCACAGCCCTGCTGCTGGGGTGAAAAACAATGAGCTCTGTCCTTCCCTCATTCAGGTGCAGATAGTTGGCCATTAGCCAAGAATTCACCTCGTTAAGACAGGACACAAAGGACTGGATAGAGTGACCTTTCTCCTGACACAATGGAGAGTAAATCTGGCAATCGTCAGCATAGAGATGGAATGATAGGCCATGTTTACGAATGATTGACTCTTGGCACATGGAATGTCACCTCTCTGGTGGGGAAGGAGCCTGAGTTGGTGTGTGAGGTTGAGAGGTTCCAACTAGATATAGTCGGACTCACCTCAACGCATGGCTCTGGAACCAGTTTCCTTGAGATGGGTTGGAATTTCTACCACTCTGGAGTTGCTCCCACTGAGGCGCTGAGCAGGGTTGGACATACTAGTTGCCCCCCCATCTTGGTGCCTGTACATTGTGGTTTACGTGAATAAGAGGGTACCCTCCCTCCTCCTACGTGTGGGGGGACGGGTTCTGACTGTGATCTGTGCTTATGCACCAAACTACATGTGACAGTGTGAGCATCCTGTCACAATGTCCCGATTGATCATGCGCCCTGGCTACTTGGCCAAGGGGATGTCCCTCTGGCTGACTGGTTAGAGCGTATGACTCTCACCCAGGAGTCTGGGGATCGAATCCCGCCTGGGCCCTCATTTCTCCACCTTGCCACATTTGGCGTTGTTGGCAGGATCCATGTAGTACGGTGAAGTAGGTCCATGAATGTGAAGTTTGTGGCACCCTGTGTGGGAGCATGAGGACGTGCTTGTGGAAAGAGGGGGGAAGATGTGACAGTGTGAGCATCCTGTCACAATGTCCCGATTGATCATGCGCCCTGGCTGCTTGGCCAAGGGGATGTCACTTTGGCTGACTGATTAGAGCGTATGACTCTCACCCGGGAGTCTGGGGATCGAATCCCGCCCGGGCCCTCATTTATCCATCTTGCCACATACAGTTCAGACTACCCACCTTTTTTGGAGACCTTGGAGGGGGTGCTGGAAAGCGCTCCTTCCGGTGACTCCCTCGTTCAGCTGGGGGACTTTAACGCTCATGTGGGCAACGACAGTGAGACCTGGAGAGGTGGGGTTGGGAGGAACGGCCCCCCGATCTGAATTCGAGTGGTGTTTTGTTATTGGACTTCTGTGCCAGTCATTGATTGTCCATAATGAACACCATGTTCAGACATAAAGGTGTCCATATGTGCTCCTGGCACCAGGATACCTTAGGCCGCAGCTCGATGATCGATTTTGTTGTTGTTTCGTCTGACCTGAGGCCGCATGTCTTGGACACTCAGGTGAAGAGAGGGGCGGAGCTGTCAACTGACCACTACCTGGTGGTGAGTTGGCTCAAATGGTGGGGGAGGATGCCGGTCAGACCCAAACGTATCGCGAGGGTCTGCTGGGAATGTCTGGCAGTCTCCTGTCAGAAGGG